TTCTTTCTTTTTTTATTTATAGATATATATATATATATATATATATATATATATATATATATATATATATATATATATATATATATATATATATATATATATATATATATAAAAGAGAGAGAGAGTTAGTTCCATACATAATAAATTAAATGAAAGATGCAAGTACGATGTTAACATTTAACATGCATGCACTCAAGAGTTGCAGAGCAAAATATATATGTTACCTCTGAAACATTCCGGCATGTAATGTTTTGGGGATGACAGTATTCGGCTGCGAAGTAACGAAGAATATTTTACATTTAAAGTGGCGAGTAAACTGCAAAAACTACCCCTGTATAATCTCGAAATAGCAAAAACCCCCCTGTGATAAATAAACTAGCAAAAACCTCCCCTGTGAAATTATTTAAATAGCAAAAACCCCCCTATGGAACTATTTGAAGGTTGACTTGATATAAAAAGACACAAATACCCCTGGAGTCTTGCAATTAATAAATTCTTATATCTTATAATTATTTTAATTATTTTATTTAAAAAATAATCAATTTAGTTGTTTACTATTTTTTTTAATTTCTAAACAAACAAATTAAAAAGAAGAAATATACATACAATATGTATATATATAAATACATTTTGAGGGACAATTTTGTCATTTCAAGTCTAAAAAATCAGCTAGGGAGGATTATGCCTTTGACTAAATTTCACAGGGGGGTTTTTGCTAGTTTATTTATCACAGGGGGGTTTTCGCTATTTCGAGATAACACAGGGGTAGTATTTGCAGTTTATTCTTAAAGTGGCCATAGAACCCATTGATGATGAGCAAATTGAAGACTATACTAATATATATATATATATATATATATATATATATATATATATATATATATATATATATATATATATATATAATGTAAGAGGAAAAACTTTAAGACCCCTACCAATCACCATGTATATAGCATTGATTCATATTGATAACATTAAACTCCACAACTATATATTTTTTCTTGGGTAATTTGACATAGCCCCTTCAAACAAACTATCATCAAATATCAACCCACCATTTTATTTTCATTTCAATAAAACCCTCATAAAATCATATTCCCAAAGCACCCTCTTAGGTTTCATTTTACATAAGTCCACATAAAAACACAATACCGGCCATTTTCGGGTGTTTTTCCTCCCTTATTTATTTTTCTTTTTATTTTTTATTTTTTATTTTCGTTTTTTTGTTCTTTTTTTTAAATTCTTTCAAAAATATATCTAGGCCGGCAGCGGTGTGACGCTGAAGCTCCGATTAGTTACCTTATGATAATTAACTTTTAACTTGATTAAACAGACTTGATTTAATTAGTTAGCTCACTTCCCACTTCAGCTAACTTGCGACTTTTGATCGGTTAACTTATGTCAAAGTCCACTAAATCAAGTTAACAATCAAATTTAGCTAATCAAGTAGACTAATGGGAGCTCCGACGACTTACTGCCATCATCCGAAAACATTGGGCGACAAAATCAAAGTCAGTGAATTAATCTATAAACTAATTAAAAGTCCACTAATCGGAGCTCCGACAATCCACCATCGCCGGAAAATTAAAAGTTCAACCAACTAATCAACTCAAGTAAATGAAGTCAGCTGATCGGAAGTTAGATTACTGGAAGTCAACTGATTAGAGCTCCAACGATCCACCACCAGCCACTCTACCACCACACTTCGAATACAAACCAACCAACTAAATCAACTCAGCTTAATCATTAAGTATATACAAGTTAACTAATCAGAGCTCTAGTGACAACTAAATCAACTCAACTTAATCATTAAGTATATACAAGTTAACTAATCAGAGCTCTAGTGACACACCGCTGTTGGCGACAAGAAATAGAAGCGTTAAATTGTTTTAAATAAAAAATAAATAAATAGAAAAGGCCCTAATTGAGTTTTGAAATGGGTAGAAATGTATAAGTTAATTATTAGAATTATGTCAAACGAAAGTTAGACCTTAATTAAGGGGGATTCATGTAAGAACAAAAAATAAAAAATAAACAAAAAAGTAGGTGCTTGGTATTGATTCCGATAATGTAAGTTGATATAGGGCTAAGCTAGTTAGTAAACCTTAAAATAAATGGGCGGATGACAAATAGGCTAACGACAACGGATTTAAATGTACATAGGTAAAAAAAAAAAAAAAGTCTTGTAAATAAACTCACCTCTATGTCTATTGTCTACAATACCTTTCATAATTTAATTTTATCAATTTTATCCATTATACTATAACTTCTTTAATATTTAATATGACCCCTGATTTGAACAAATATATCAAATTAACCCCCATTTTTACAATTTTTTACTTTTTTTAAGAAAATAATGTTTTTTTTTTCCGGCGTTGATTTTTTTTTGAAGTTTTTTTCCGGCCGGTCAGCCGATGGTCTCTGGCGTTGACCTTTTCTTGTTTTGAAACATTTTTTTTTCTCTCTAAATTACTGTGTTAACAACAAAATTGTTGTTTGAAATAGTAATATTGAATACCAAAACAGTAATATTATTGTGCCGAACACTAATATTACTATGCCGAACACTAGTATTATGAATATTACTTTCCCGAACAGTAATAACCATAATATTATTGTCCAAAAAGTAATATTATTGCATGAGGCAGTAATATTACGGCCGGAGGCAGTAATATTACGGTCGAAGACAACAAAATTGCACACTAAGACGATAAAATTAATTAATACACTAAAATTATTGTCTCAGACAGTTAAATTACTATCTCCAACACTTAATCTACTGTTGGAGACATAATTTAGCAGCCAAGACAGTAATATTAATTAAAATATATTTTTTAGGAAAAAATAGGTTGTTTTAAAAAAAAAGTCAACGCGGGAGACCGACGGTCAACAGCGGTTGACCTAACGAAAAAAATCAGAAAAAAAAAGGTTTTCAATATAAAAAAAAAAAGAAAGTCAACGCCGGAAACCGGCGGTCTCCGGCTGTGGCGGTCAAACTTGGATTAAGGGTCAAAATTGGTTAATTGGTCAAAATTAGGGTGTAAATCATGAAATTGGAGTTGAATTAGGATTTCAAGGAATTGGGGGTAATTTTGGTATATATAAAAGAATGTTTCTTGTCATAGGCCTATTTACCATTTTTCCAAAATAAATATACCATCTTGGTTTTTTTTTAGGGGCTCTTTGAGGAAACCCCTTCATTAGTTCTTTTAATGGAGAGATGCCCAAAATATTTCTCTCCATTAGAGAAAAGCCCACATCTATTTCTAGCCATTATTTTTTCAAATTGTGTCCCTGCCCGTTAGACATGGCCACGTGCCGGATTTGACCCAGACCCGCCCGGTTGACTGCCCCGCCCCGCCCCATTGACCACGGACCCCCCCAAGCACGGGTCGGTTTCGGGTCCAGATATTTTGGACCCGAGACCCGACGGGTCTACCCGGCGGGGGGACCCGAGGACCCGTCAGGTCAACCCGGGTTTTGGGCCTTTTTTGTCCAACAATTGAACATTGGGGGATTCAAACTCGAGTGAATGGGGCATAATTAGGCAACTCTAACCACTGGGACAACGAACTTATTTAACTAAATGTAGACAATAAATTTATATAATACAATGCTAATGTAAAATGATAAATATGTTAAATAAATTATTAATTTTCATATTAATTATTATTAAATATTTTTAATTAAATTATTAACAAATGCAATATAATAAACTTTTAAAAATGTATATAGAATCACGGTTCAATACTTCAAGACTTTTTTATTTCGAAAACTTTTTTTTTTTAAAACATTTTTTCCCGCCGGATTCCGGAGTTGACTTTTGGATTTTTTTTTTCCTTCCGGATTTTTCGCCGGTTTCCGGCGTTGACTTTTATTAGTGTTTTTTTAAGTTTTTTTTTTTTTGATTTTTTTCTTTTATGTCCGCCGCTAAACGTTGACCGTATTTGTGTTGTCACTGACAGTAAATTAACGTAATTATACTGTCAATGACAGTTAATTAACGTAATTCTATTGCCGTTGACAATACATTTATGTAATTGTTCTGTCGTTGACAGTAAACTAACGTAATGTTATTATTTTTTTATTTTTTGTTATTTTTTTATTTATTTTTTTGATTTGTTGACAAGTCAACGTAATTATATTACTGTCGTTGACAGTAAAATAACTGAAACACAATAATATTACTGTCTATTATTGTAATATTACTGTAAACACAATAATATTACTGTGGTTGACGGTAATATTACTGTTGTTATAGTAATATTGCTGTCAAGCACATCAATATTATTATTTTGTTTGTATTGTTTTGTTTGTTTGAGCTATTCATGGAGTAACGTAATAATATTATTGTCTATTATTGTAATATTACTGTGGTAGATGGTAATATTACTGTTGTTATAGTGATATTACTGTCACTCACAGTAATATTAATTCTTTTGGCTTTTTATTATGTATACATTTGTTGAACGGTCAACATAGTGATATTACTCTATTACACAATAATAATGAGTTTTGTTGTGTTAATATTACTGTGTTAGAGATTAATATAGCAATATTACTGTGTTAAACTGTAATTTAGTTAATTTTACTGTGTTTAATAGTAATATAGTTAATATTACTATCAATCACAACAATATTGTTGTTTAAACGAAAAAAAAAATTACAGAAAGAAAGAAAAGAAAAAAAAATTAAAAAAAAAAGTCAACGCCGGAAACCGGCGAAAAAATCCGGAAGGAAAAAAAAATCGAAAAAGTCACAGCCGGAATCCGGCGGATTTTTTTTTTTTAAATAAATTTTTGGGTCAAAATTGAATAATTTGTGAAATTTG